CCACTGTACCTATGTTCCCCAGTTCCCATGTTCTACTGTACCTATGTTCCACTGTACCTATGTTCCCCAGTTCCCATGTTCTACTGTACCTATGTTCCACTGTACCTATGTTCCCCAGTTCCCATGTTCTACTGTACCTATGTTCCACTGTACCTATGTTCCCCAGTTCCCATGTTCTACTGTACCTATGTTCCACTGTACCTATGTTCCCCAGTTCCCATGTTCTACTGTACCTATGTTCCACTGTACCTATGTTCCCCAGTTCCCATGTTCTACTGTAACTGTTCCACTGTACCTATGTTCCCCAGTTCCCATGTTCCACTGTATGTTCCCCAGTTCCCATGTTCCACTGTAACTATGTTCCCCAGTTCCCGTGTTCCACTGTAACTATGTTCCCCAGTTCCCGTGTTCCACTGTAACTATGTTCCCCAGTTCCCATGTTCCACTGTATGTTCCCCAGTTCCCATGTTCCACTGTACCTATGTTCCCCAGTTCCCATGTTCTACTGTACCTATGTTCCACTGTACCTATGTTCCCCAGTTCCCATGTTCCACTGTACCTATGTTCCCCAGTTCCCATGTTCCACTGTAACTATGTTCCCCAGTTCCCGTGTTCCACTGTACCTGTGAAGATTATGGCTGTTGTTGTACTTATTGGTTGTTTGCAGTATCAAATGACTGTGGGCGGAGACTTGATGGACTCACCTGGACGCAGTTCAGCTGATGAGGTGTGCCTCTATTTAATTGGCTGCAGAGATCCATCCGAGGCTGGAAAATTCATTTACCTTTGGTACTGTTTCTACAGCCTGCATATACTCTTCTTGAGTTTCTATGCTTAAAGTGTTTTTTCTCCTGTGTGCAGATTCCTCGTTAAGACCTCTGAGTTTCTGAAGTCAGAACCTCTCCTGACGGATCTTCAGAAACAAGCCTTGCTGTAAGCTCTCTTTGGAATCACCCCTGAAGGTCCTCCGCCTGTCACTCTCTCCAACACACTCCACCTGCAAAACAACAAGCCATTATCTGTGGAAGCAAACTTCATCGTGGTGTCTACACCCTCCCTTCCATGTCAAGCTTCTTCCTTGGAAACTCTAAACCCTGGGATCATCACTGTAAATAAAATCACTTACCTTTTTACCTTTTGTGTTTGCCTGAGTTCATTATCTGCTGAGACTGAAACTGGGTACTTACTTAAACAAATCTTAATAGAATTTTCCAGCCAACAATGAGTACCCACGGTTCTGCAGATAATGAACAGGTCCTAGACTCTTTAGCTGCCCAAGAACAACGAATTATTAAACATGACAAAACTCTACAACAAGTCCTTGAGCAGCAACAGACACACACCACCAACTTGGAAGAGTTGGGAGGCATGATTTTTTTCTATTGATCAAAAAATGAACTCTTTATTGTCCTCCAGTGCTGCAGCCTCCCCACCTGTAGTAACACCTCCTCCGGTAACACAACCTGTGCCAAGGGAACCAGATCTTCGACCCAGTCAGTTTTTTGATGGTAATCCTGACCATTTTGGGGGTTTCTCATTGCAATGTTCACTTGTGTTTAGCAGAGCACCTATAACTTATGCATCCGATGCTGCA